CAACTTTCAGGTTGAAATATTCTTAGCTAAATGAGTAGCATCATATCTTTGTGTGATTAGTTTACATACTGACACCCACCTAGTTTTTCTTCCCAAGCAGGAGCAAGCTATTCCAGAACAAGGAATTATATTCAGTAATGCAACTACTCTAAAAGCCTTCATCACTTCTACATGGAAAGCAACACCATCCTTTAGCATAAGCATCTTCTGAGTAAGATACAATGCACAAAAAGATGTGGGAATAAGAAGCTTACCTTGAGAAATAAAAATTTGGGCCCCTACTTTTAATGTTTGTATTGATGCCACATTTGAAACCACCCCTCCATGTAAGTGGCTGCACATGTTTGGCACATTCTGCAACTGCTTTCTTGATAATCAGAGGGACTTAAAACTCCTACTTCTCCATAGACAAAGAAAAAAGCCAAACAGTGAGGTAATCAAACTGAAGGAACATTCCACGGCAAGTCTGTAAATCCTTTCTGTATCTGCCACCTTGCTTACATACCTTACAGACACTTATAGTTGAACTATGTCTAAGTTACAGTGCAAGTAACTTTGGGTAAACAGCATACCTGTCACGAAGCCCCTGGAACACCTTCAGCACCCTATACTAGCAACTGTAATGCAATTTGTGTAATACCCATCTATCTTTCATTTTAAATTGTTCACTACATTTCGGATTTGTTTAGCATTTCAATACAGATCAAGTCCTAACAGCATATCTCATCAAGGACTGGGAGTAAGCTGTCCAATTTATGATGAAATCTGGCTTGTTCAAAGAACAGCTTAATAGACTCAAGCAAGCCTAAGTATTAGAAGAAGATTCACTGACAACGTATTTCATTACTGTCATTACAACCAGAGAGTGATGTCTCATGCCATTAAAGAGGTAGAATATATACGGGGGGGGCAGATAAGAAATGTCAAGAAACAGAGTTAAACAAGGCTATGTATGGGATCACATCTGTATCCTCTCTGAAGACAGACACTACTTCTTTTGAATTACTTCTAAGGACTTGGGATGGGCCTGCCTTACTTAAGCCACATGGCCCAGAATCTACTTTCCCTCAAAACATGTGTGCAGATGGGCTGATTAAAGAGCAGCTTTCTGCATTGGGATATTCTAATGATAGAAGTCACACATGATCTTACTGCCAACAGCAAAGAGATGTTAGCAGCACCGCTCATTTCAACTGCACTGCATGAAGAATGCCTTGGCCTTGAAACAAACCATTATTTAAGGAACTTGATGTTACTATGTTAACTGTTTTTCCATCTTCCCTTCAGTCAGTAATAAGTCCCTAAGAGGGAGGGAAACACCACCCTTGGTAATTATCCATACTGCTATGCAATGCACATTACCCAACTTTAGGCAAAGCCTTTTTCAGCTGTGCTAACAAAGCCTCCCTTTTAAACTCTAACGCATTTCAAAAAGCCTTTTAATAGAGATATAGTAGGAACACATTTCCATTCTCAGCTTTCTGCAGGTTCAGCTTGGACTTGGGCAATCCTGTAGCTGAGATTCACTGGCAAAGGCAAACCTCTTTCAACTGCGTATGTTGAGTCACAAGAGACCAAGAAACTTCTAATATGTTTGTACACTCTCAAGCATCTGATCAAGATGTGAGATTCCGTCTAACGTTGCCACACACACTGAACAAACACCAAAAGACAGTCTTTAATAATGCTTCAATATAATTTCTTCAAAAGGTAGTGAGCACCTTTCTAGTAATCAATAGGTGTCAAGCAATTACTCTTAGTTCAAAGTAAAGTCCCAAGTATTTTAAGAGTTATCAGCTCCCTTTATTCCTCCCTTACTCTCTTAAAGATACACTGGAAAGGCAAGACTAACCCAGCCTCAAATCCACCTCATTAGTCTATCCCCACATTCTTCAGGTAAGTTCGGTCTTTGGGTAATTCCATATATTTTGGAAAAAATGTTTCTCTACATTAGCTGCCTTCACTCCATTCTAAAGTTAGCAACCATTGCTACAGAACATCCCTAAAAATCTTCCAAAGTCCTGTTAAGTTGGTAGTGAATAAGCCAGGCATACCTTAACACAGTAACAGCTCACCAAGTTAATGAGTAACAGCAGCGGGTAGCAGAGGAATAATAGAAATCAGTGAAGAAGTAAAGAAGGTGAAAGCAGCAGCCCACAAGACTTAATCTAGTTTCATACTGATGACATACAAAAACATTTTTCCAACTCCAAGCAACCTGGAAGTTTTTTGCCAGAGTATCAGTAAGGTCATTCCACAGGTGGAATACCAGTTCCCTCAAGGCCACACGAAGACTGACTATCATGCGGAAAGTCTCACCCATTAGACATAAGCGTTTGGTACAACTCGCCTGAAAAGTTCTGTGAGCTAAACTATGTTTGGAATTAGAATTCAGAGAGCCGATACATTGGCATATCAGTACAGCTACATGGTAGAAGTAGTTTACTATAGAAATTTATATGAGAAGAAAAACACTAAGATGAGGGAAAATACCTACAAAGTATAAAACTGAAGAGATCAAAAACTCAAGAGATCAGAAACATGCATAGATGAAAAAGCACAAAAGCCTACAAGGAAAGCAAGCACATCTGCTGGGAATCTTAAGGGGCAGGGAAAGCAAAGAGTTTAAGCTCAGTACCACAGCATCAGAGATGAAGGGACTGGACACAAAGACAAGAATAGTTTTCACCCCTGTGGTATTATCTTTAAGCATATAGAAATTTTTTTTTTATACCAATAGGCCAATGTGAAAATATAAGCCAACTGTATTGACACATGGGAAGGGACAGGGAAACAAGCAATAAAGTGGAATAATCAGTCCATGGCAGAGCCAGTGACACAGACTAACAGGAGTTCTCATTCTGCAGCCAGATGCTGCATCTAATCCACTAAAGGAGCCCATGATTACCTACATCTACATCACACACACCAGATTCACTACTTACCTTTGGGTCCATCCTCCAAAGACTGACGATAAACCAGACAAAAGGCTAACACCAATCCTGGCACCTGCTCTCAATCTTCCTCTTGCACATCCCAGTGCCCCATTGCGTAACTCGGCACCAATAAAGGAACACAGAAAGCAATCAACCACCCAAGCAGGAACCAGCTGTATAAGTTGAAATCTATCCACGGACTGAAAGACAACAAGCTTCACATCTAAATCCCTTACAAACTCCTACGCTTGCATGATCTGAAGCAAAGAAAATGTGTCAGTCAGGGGATGATCCCCATTGGTAAAGTTCAAGAATTAAAGATAACATACGAAGAAAAAAAGACCTGCAAACCTGCTATCTTTTTTTCTTGAGTTATTCTGAATAAGTTCCAGGATTTGTAAAGATATTTCTGTTTACTTCTCCCATGAGAAATGCAAGTTAATCCATTAAAAAGAAAACAAACAAACGCACTACAGAACATCTGACCCATTCTACTTAAAACTCTGGGAATACAGAGCACTTGTCATGGTTGCAGTTTGTTCCAAAACATGACCAGCACTGGAAGAAAAAATAACCTACTTCCTTAATCCCTAATCTTCAGCGAGCATACAAATTTTCCAGCTAGTCAGCCAGCAGAACAAGCTCTAAGCAATGTCTAATTTTGAAGGTTTAATCAGCTAAACTGGAAAAAAAAAAGAGAAACAGTACAAGGAAACAGAAACATACAAAGCTTTTGCTGTTCATCATCATAGCTTTGCAACCAAGTACAGAGTTCCCAACTGACAGGATTGAATTGGCATCTTGAATTTTCTTTGGTCTTCTTAACACTTCTGTCAGTCCTCTAGCCGCCAGGAGAGGACATCTTCAGTCTCACAGCTCATGACTGGAAGTTCTTGATCACTACAAAATACTGGTCAGCAGAGGCCAGGGGGACACTTCAGCTCCTCTCCTCTTTCCTGCAGCCAATAAGTTCCCACAGTGGCAGTAACCCAGCATTTGTCAGCCTAGCTGAATTCACCACAATTAAGTTTTTGAAGAGTTAACATGGAGTAACCCAAACTTCTGTCACATTCAAACTATATCTTATGCCTAGGCCTGGCTGTGAAGGTGCACATATCCTCATCTTCCCTCCCCACAGGAATAGGCACAAAGATGAAGCAAAGCAGCCAGTAAAGACAACAAACCGGGTTGCAGAGCACATCACTTGGTCTTGAAGTCTCTGAATGATGTTATAGCACTCCACTGTTACTTTGGACTCCGTTTTTATCACAAAACTTAAGAGAGTTCCAGTTTTGTATCGTACAGAATACAAACCTGACTAGCCAAAAGCACAGAGCCTCATCCAACTCCCTAATGCCAAGACACTCCCTCTACATTCTAAGAGTTAAGTCAAGACAAGTCAAAGTACGATAAGCAGTCACAGCTGATTAGATGAGAGCTTCTGCACACAGAGGTATCAGTGACCACCTGCAGCTTTCCAAACATTTCCACCACAAACAAGCCACATGCCACCTAGGAATCAGTAGCCTAGGCCATTAACTCTAGGTTATGTAGGAACCCCAAAGTCTGACAGAACTCGCTGTCTTCAAGGCTAGCTCATGGAAACATCAGTTTAATTTCACTTCAACCAGCCCTTCGCCTGACAAACTGCGTACTCCCAATTTGCTCATCAGGTGACACAAGGCGTAACTCCTCAGGCAAGGCGGCACAGATAGGATCAGCCGTGTGCCCCAAATTCACTCTACAGAAGTTCACCCTGCCTTTGGGCAGAGGTCACCTTTGCCTCAGAAGCACAGCAAACTGCTGCAGGCTAAATCCAGTGGAGAAGTGCAGTTACTGCCACCAGCAGCCCTCAGCAGAAGACCTCCAACACCAGCCTTCGCCCCAGGCAGTGCTCACCACAGGCACATCCACCCAGCCCACTCGAGAGGGACACTGCCCGCAGCACCCACACCGGGCGGGTGGGGGCACCCCCCTCCCGGCGCTGCCTCCCCAGGGGTGCTCCCACGCCAGTCAGGGCGCTTCACCCTTGGGAAAGGGGCGGGAGGGGAGGCGACCGCTCACCTGGAGGAGCACAGCCAGCAGGACGCACAGGTACACCTGGTAGGGCCCCATCTGCCCCACCAGCGGGAACGCCTCCTCCACCTCCATCCCGCTCCCCGCCCGCCGCGCAGCGCCTACGAACGGCCGCCGAGCCGCGCATCCCCGGCCCGGGGCGGGGCGCGGAGCAACGGCCGGGCCTTCGCGGAGGAGGAGGAAAGGGCGGGAGGCGCGAGGCGGCGCTCAGGCGCAGGCGCCGGG